ACTATAATAGCCAACACCTGTTGGCCGGTGTTGAGTCGGCGGTGATGAAATGTCCCCTCTCGACGAAACAGTATTCTGAACAAAGTAATAATTTAGGTCATTTTAGTCAAAATATCAGCAACTGTCTGAGAACAGAGTTCGAATTCCAGTCGGGGCGTTATATATACTTACACTAAAATTCCTTTGGGAAAGTTATGAATCCATTTCCTCCCCAGCTATGGATTAAATAGTATCTGGAAAAAAATCATTGTTATTCTGAAGAAATTCTTAATGCTATATTCACTCGCACATAAAAGAATTATTCTTACAATCAAAAATATGTTTCGGCTTTAAATAACCTACAAATATATTGAAATTATTTACATTCTTTACATTGTTCAGACTGTTGTCCTCATCTTTGTTGCCATATTCACGACGTTTCGGCCGTTGTAATATCCGGCCTTCTTTAGGCGATTGGAATTTCGAAAATAATAGACGGAAAACAACACTGGAAAATACGAAAACTTAAGGAATCAGTGCATATGTGCTAGGCCACAAAAATCTCTTAAGCCAATTAAGTATAGAAATGAGTACAATATGAGAACCAGTAATATGGAGTGCCAGAGAAAAACAACAATAACTACAAAAATTGTAATATGAGCTATGGTTTAAAATGTTACTGAGACATTAGGTTTATAAGTCCCAAAAATTCATAGACAGATATCCTCATGGATGAGTGAATAAAAGCATTGGTTGAATCCAATGTACTTGACCCAAAGTGTTGTAAGTTCAATACCTGGCTAAAGTAGTGGCGGACATAAAGCTTGAGAATTTGAGTTAAACGGAGATAGATAGTAGATGCTTATCTTACTTATTATAAAACGCAGATTGTGTGTGTGTGTGTGTCTGTACGTTTATATATTGGATCGGATTTCCTACATTTTTCAACCGATTTCAACAGAACTTCACAGGACTGTGTAAAATTATCTTGTGGTGGTTGTGACAGTGCCAAAAATTAGAAAAACACAATTGTTTTTGCACGAAATCAATTTGAAAACATGATAAAACACGATTCTGTCGCCAGAATGAAAGGGGGACAACTCATATCAAGTTATACTTATAAAACCCAGGTTGTTCGTGTGTGTGTGTGTGTGTGTGTGTTCGTTTATATATGGGATCGGATTTCCTACATTTTTCAACCGATTTCAACATAACTTCACTTTTTGTGGGCAGGTAGTGTTTCTTATTGTCTTGCACACTTTTTTCTTTATTTTTACATTCAGAATGCTTTAAAAATTCCATTTACAAGACAATTGTTTATAATAAAATTCTATTCAATCGGTAGACTCATAACGATTGAAAACAATGTTTTTGTTTGAGTTTGGGTTTGACCAATTCGTAAAAAAAAAAAAAAACTAATTAAGACATGCGTGTCCATCAACCTTCAACAATAATCTTTGTCAATTTTATTTTTCAGTCTTTATGATGGTCGATACTTGATCTATCTCTTACTGTTACATCCCCGGGCAACGCCGGGCTCTACTGCTAGTTATTATTAAGCAGTTTATTTATTTAGAGCTATCGGCCTGAATATTTGAGAAATCTTGTAAGAAAAATATGGCAGGAATCGAAACTTCTTCCCTTAGATCTGACGTCCGTTGACCTCTCGGCCACGTAGGTCCTGCTGATCAAACAGAGGTCGAATAGAACTTTTGTTTCGTATACTAACGTAAACAAAGACAATTTTTTTTAGGGAATGGATTAAATCCCGACATATTTTCAATTTATTTGTTTAAACCTTATTTTTCATGGATTCTCATATTTGAGCAGATGCTCTGTTTTTCGAATATAGAATCCAGAGGTTGGCAGTGAATATTTCGGAGACAGTAGGAAAGCGTAGTTCAGGTTCGCAGTGGATATTTTGATAAAAGTAGCAGAGCGTCTGTCATGTTCGCCTGACAAGTTGGCTTTGGTCATTCCGGTAGGATAAACAAAGATGGTCGCCTTTATACACGACGGATACAATGTTCTGCGGCTTCTGATTGGTCAACCTTCTATTGGTAGACTATAAAGGGAATTAAGTCATTTTGACTAACTCACTAGTTACCTATATATATATATATATACACACAAAAAACTGTAACATTATTAAACATTATATTTTTCAGTAAAGGATGTAAATAAATAAATATTTAAATAATTATATCAAAAGTTATTTTTAGTGGATACCCATATTTAGAGTAGAAAAGTCCCGTTTTTTAAACTGTTTATACTTACCTGGCACATGTCAGAGAGTATCCCCTCCCCCAGATGAGACTATGCACGAAGGGTAGAGTTTCGTCTCGGGAAACTGACTCCGTTTTTACGTGGTCTATAGGGAATTTTTGTCCGAGCCTACGGGCTCGGATACCCCACTTTAAAACTCGGCCTTGCTGCGTGGGGCAGTGGATAAATAATTATTTCGTCTCCCGGCCTGTGCATTCGAGAAGACTTAATAATGAAGATTATACATTGTACGACTGGATTATGCATTACTTCAAGCGTCATTTTAAGTGGATACTCATGTTTGAAGTAGACGGCCCGTTTTTTGTTTTAAATAATGTGTATTACATCTACAACCCTGCGCCCTCGAGAAATCTTAATGGAAAAAAAAAATATGCTAAGATTTCTCGAGACCGACGCGTAATATATAATATTTAAAATAAAAACGGGCGTCTATTTCAAACATGGGTATCTACTAAAATTAAAGTGTGAAGTAATTAACCGTGGGATTAAAATTAAACACACACACGTATATATATATATATATATATATATATATATATAGCCACACTGAGGAGCTGTGATACAGCGAAACAGTTTGTTTGCGGATGACGATGAGGAGATCAGTTGAATCCGCTACCTTAGTTTCAACCTTACGGGTTTCTCAGGCAATTTTTATCAATTGACCTGCTAACGCTTTATTTTTGTTGTAACCTAGAAAAGGTTACTGAATGAGGAATAACCAGAACAGAGGTTGAAAATGAAATGGCAATCTTCATAACATCAACGAGCTACAATACTCGCCAGCGGCGTCAAGTAGGTAAACCACTACTAATGGTGGACTACTTAGACCGCATATTACTCACACTTACAATAGTGTCCAACGTATTTATGAGGATTGGGACATACCCATTAGTGTTCATAGGTACGGTATATAACAGTTTTTTTTTTTAACTAATGAGCCCTATATTATTTTTTAAGAAGAAGAAGAAGAAGAAAAGCAAGGGTATCAGTAGTGGAGATTAATTGTAAAATTTTTATCTAGTCTCAAAGTGATATTTTTTTAAAAAAGGAAGTTACAATAACTTGGACCGATTTTAAATGTGAATTAATTTTAAGCGTCTAATGATTTTTTCTTTTTCTTTCAGATTTAACAACTTAATTCTTTGCCAATTTCATCCATGGGAAGATTAACAAGCAAATAGCGTGTTAAAGTTATCGAAGCCTATTACGAAAATGGACATTCAAACAGAATTTGAATGAGAATTTCCCAGATTGCATCACCTCTTGAACCAGCGAAGTCAATTGGCCACCACGATCGTGCGACTTGACGCCTTTAGATTTCTTCCTTTGGGGTCATCTCAAAAGTAAGGTCTACGCCAACAAGCCAACAACATCTGAAGGATGAGATAATATGGCATATTGGTGAGATTGAGGAGCAACTAAGTAGAGACGTTTGACCATCGAGTGGAGGTGTGTCACCGAAGCCTTGGCTGACATTTGAGCGATATCATTTTTTACACATAATTACCATGACTTAAATAACATGATCCAATTGAGAAATCAATAAATTTTCACCAATAACATTGATTTATTTATTGCTGACTTTGATACGTCTTAATGAAACACCCTGTATATTCCATACGAACACAAATATCCAGATGCGAGAAATATCACAGCATAGGCACATTTCTCGCCATCTCAATTTAACTTTGAAAACCATCAAACTGAGAAACCGGTAAGGTTACTGTGAATAAATATTGTTAAAAACTCCAGTTGCATTTTCAACTTCTTTTTCTTATATATATTCGGCAGAAAATGGTACAGCTTGACTGGGATGTCCCACTACACGTTGCACTTTCGGATTGCAAATGTTTTTGATCCTTATTCGCATATTTGAACGGTGAGATTCATCCTGTGCAAGGGCTCGAGGGAGAGGATTTCAGTAAGAAGCGGGTTATGCTAATCGGAGGGAAGATAACGGTTAGCCCTATCTTTGAACAGTTTAAAATTGTAGTGGTCGGGAAAACATCCTCTTGGGAGCTGGTTCCACAGAGAAGTGATTCGCAGGAAGTAGCTGTTGGAATGGAATTGGCAGGACCAAGGAATGCTGTTCGTCCGAACACTTTCAAATGGAAATAGCGTTAGAGCAGTGAGAGGTTTGCCACATCCCACCAATTTCAGAGACGTTGGAGGATGGAAAATAATATGTCAAGAACTTTGAGACGCTTTTGGATTTTATCAAGGCTAAGAACTTCCATTCGCTGGAAACCTATAAAAATCACTTAGACCAGTTCATTAACCAGAAAGATGCCTACTTCTTGGAGGGTTGAATCATGAAGCTGCTTCAAAGATGGCGAAATTCAGCAGAACAGATTGGCCCGTATGTGATTTAGTAAATCCATGTACAAATACCTTAATATTGTCTTAGAAATACACTTAAAAATTCTACGAAATTTTGTTCTGACTGAATACGGTTTGCCTCAGTCCCGCCCCTAGAGGAAAAAAATTGTATTTTTACGGCTTATCAACCGTTTGCAGGCTATTTAAAGCCGGAAGCGTTTTTAGATTGTAAGAATTTATTTAGAGGTCTTAATGATTTCTTGATACGCCATACTAATTAACCCATAGCTGGGGAGTAGGAGAGGTGGATTTATAACCTTTCCCAAGGTTATTTGGCGCCAAAGTGAATATAACGAACTCGACTGAGACTGGAACTCAGATCTCCGATTTCGAATTCCGAGACGTTACACCACTTGCACATCCTGGTGTTCCTGAGCAGTCACCCACCTAGGTACTGATCAGGCGTTGCTTAACTTCGGTGATCGTATGAGAACCGGTGATTCAACGTGATATTCGACTGAATGAATATATTAATAAAACACAGTGCGAAAAGTCACCGATTTTGTACTTGATTCTGTGCCCGCAGGTGCGAAAACTTGAAAAAGTATACCTGCATTCTTGCCTAGTGACTGGAATCTGTCCGTGTTTATCGATACTGTGCGAGTAAAGCGTTTACTACGTACATTGTAACGCAGTCCACGTGTACAGACGTACTCAGGTGTTCGTATGTGTTCCCACTCTGATCGTACTTACGCACGAGTAAATGTCAGCAGATACCTAAGTGATAGGCTTGCATTTCTGCAGACTCGAAAAGCTGAAATTCACGTTCGACAGGCCGCCTTCTGCTGAGATATTTCAATAGCACAATACCAATGACGAGAGAAATAAAATCTACGATATAAATTAACAGAACAATCTAGTGTTGACCACGTCTTTCAAGGGAAATCTATAAATAGCATTTCATTCTTTCTAAAACGCACCCACACACACACAAACACCCACGCACACACATACACACACATATATATATGTATTTATATATATATATATGTACAAGTCCACATATTGCAACAGGAATATTTGCTGAAGCTTTTCGCCGTTGTCTTTCCTCTCTTAACCAGTCAATACGAATGATTTCGAAATTTCTCATACAACTCTGGCACAAATATCTCAACTCATATCTAAAGACAGGTTTTAATTTTATCTTCACTTATACCGTCTTTTTACCGATAAATTTAGAGATATTTTTTTTTATTTACATCTGAATTTTCACACACACACACACACACACACACACACACACACACACACACACACACACACACACACACACACACACACATATATATATATGTAAATTCTTATTAGATAGAGTGTATGTGTGGAGGAACAAAATGAATAAAAAGTGACAAGAGGAAAAACTATTCTTAGCCGACGCGTTTCGTCCTCTGACGGACTTTATCATGGCAAATGAAGGATTTATTTTGCTGCACGTGTTTATATGCAAAAGTGACGATGATTAAACATGACTTAAATTTGAGATAGTTCATGAATATTAATCAGGTGGTTGAAATGTTGATCAAAACATATGGAGGACACAAAGTGTCATAATTCAAAGGCTGGTAAAAAGTAAGCGAGTAATATTCAATACATACATATATATATATATATATATATATATATATATATATATATATATATATATATATATAGAGAGAGAGAGAGAGAGAGAGAGAGATAATATTAGTGGTAAATATACACATACATATGCAAAATATATAAATATTTATACATAGGCGCATACACATACATGTATATTTTTTGAATAAAAAATTCCGAGAGGATAGAATCCAGGTAGAACTCAATGTCCAGGACAGAGTAAGGATATAATAAAAAGGCTTAAACACTAATATTCCATGGTCATAATTTATTCCTACACTCTCTCTAAATTCTATTTTTATTTCCGGAGTTGTTTTTTTTTTTCTGTTTTCTTTTTGAATTTTTAGGTCTGATGAATTGGATCGTATTTACGATTCCAATGGAATAAATTATGAACATGAAAATTAGTGTTTAAGCCTTTTTATTTTTATATATATATATATATATATATATATATATATATATATATATATATATATATTAGATCAGGGCTACAGGAATGTAGGACGCCCATGGCTAAGATACAAAGACAAGCTGAAAAGCAACTTGTCAGCAGTCAATATACCACATAACACCCTTGAGCGTTTAGCCCTGGAGCGGGTAAAATGGAGATCAACGTGTTTTAGTGGACTCAGCAATTTTCAATCTGCTTGTCTGAATCATCTTCAAAAAGCGAGAGCAAGATCTAAAAGGCCAACTAATCTAACAGTGATCTCATCTCACAATCCTCACACTTGCTCCATATGTGGCCTCCTTTGTAAATCACTAGCGGGTCTTAAATGCCACTTAAGATTATCGCACAAGCTTTCATAACTGAATCAATAAGCAGTCAGATCCTCATACGTCGAAACCGACGGAAGTGTCCATTATATATATATATATATATATATATATATATATATATATATATATATATAGATATATGATAATGTATATTTTGAATGAATTTAAAGGCCTATTTTTAAACGAATATAAAAGCCTTCATGAACCAATGACAACTTCACTTTTGTATATAAACACGTGCAACAAAATAAAACATACATTGCCTTGATAAAGTTTCTCAGAGGACGAAACGTGTCGGTTAAATATAGTTTTTCCTCTTGTCTTTTTATTCACACACACACACACACACACACACATATATATATATATATATATATATATATGGAGAGAGAGAGACTTCACCAAAAATGTATACAAACTTCAGGAAAAGAAAAACTTGTATAGATATTGTAATATCAAATTTATTCAGATGAGATGAATACAAGTTACTTTTCTCAAAATGGAGGCCTTTAGCTTCCAGAAATTTATTAGTACGCCGAACTTCTGCTTGGGTAACTTTGGCCAAAGTGTCCACTGGAATTACTACACATACATTTTCAATTTCTTGTCTAAGGGCCACCAATATAATGCCATCTGACGGAAAAATATGGTAACTCACCAGTTACTTATCACATCCTGAAGAAATACAATCATAGTATTGAAACCTGAAAGCTTTTGTGTGGCCATTTCAAAATGTTTTTATTATAATAAAAATATAATAATAATATATTGCTCCTTTACCGCCTCTGATATTTCTCTCATTTGTATATATATATATATATATATATATATATATATATATATATATATATATATATATAATCGACTCTCCCGTCGAGTTCGACGTATGAGGTCAGGCCGATAAGTTTCAGGAAACCGACATCCCGACATCGGCACATGAGATTTGATTATAGTGGTGAAGACCTCGTGCAGGACCAGCCACACTTTTTGGAGGGACGAATACAGAAACCTGGTGCAGTTGAATGCCACAAGGTTCCCAAACGACCCTCCGCAGGTTTTGAATTCAGAGTTGTCCTTCTCCTAGACCAGTTGCCATCCAAGGCTATAGAACCCAGTCTGTCCTGCTATTTTACCCATAGCTGGAGGGAAATGAAGAGGATTCATACCTTTCCCAAGGGTATTAGCACGTAAGTGAATGTAATGGATTCGACTGGAATTCGAAGGCACGGTGGAGTAATGGATAGCGGCTTGGATTGAGGAATCGCAGAGCCGAGTTCGAATATATATATATATATATATATATATATATATATATATATATATATATATATATATATATATGTTTGAAAACTCCTGTCCCACATAGCTCTGTCTGATGTAGGCTAAGAAGAATATTAATAAGCCATTTCGTTTCTACCTCGTACTATTAAATCAAAAGAAAAGGACGCCATTAATGGGATAAGGTCCCTGATGTCTTTAACATTCTATTTCTCTTTAATACAAGAGCTTTACTGAATAGAGAATAACCGAAACAGAGAAGATTTTAATGATTGGTATTAAAACGATCCTCATAACGTTATATAGGAGGCACGGTGGAGTAATGGATAGCGGCTTGGATTGAAGAATCGCAGAGCCGAGTTCGAATTCCAGTCGAATCCATTACATTCACTTAAGTGCTAACACCCTTGGGAAAGGTATGAATCCTCTTCATCTCCCTCCAGCTATGGGTAAAATAGCAGGACAGACTGGGTTCTATAGCCTTGGATGGCAACTGGTATAGGAGAAGGACAACTCTGAATTCAAAATCTGCGGGGGGTCGTTTGGGAACCTTGTGGCATTCGGTGCACCAGGTTTCTGTATTCGTCCCTCCAAAAAGTGTGGCTGGTCCTGCACGAGGTCTTCACCACTATAATCAAATCTCATGTGCCGATGTCGGGATGTCGGTTTCCTCGGGACTTATCGGCCTGACCCTCATACGTCGAACGCGACGGGAGAGTCGATTATATATATATCGGCTGTAACAGCAAAATTGGCCAAATCGTAATTGTCATCCTACAAAATGTTTAATATCAGGAAAACCACTAAACTAATTGAGTTTCTTTTTCCAAAACTTTGAGATAAGACGTTTAACCATAATGATACCATTTGTCGTAAGAATCACAGAAAAACACTTTTAGTTATTCAGCTAGAAAGAAAACAGGTTAAAATCGTTTTGCGTCAGCCCCACTGTGTCTTCCCAACTAAGAAATGGTGAGAGGAAAAAAATCATTCAGGCCTTCAGTAATGGTGCCAACATTCATACACTGGGCCCCATCTTCAAAGTCCATTCAAGAGAAAGGTGAATAAGTTTTTAAAAAAAGAAAACCGTAGAGAGGAAACTGGATCAGGAGGTCACAACAGAAAGAGGGATCATCATTTCAACTTAGAGCTAAAGAGATTGATTAGAAAAGATCCAACAATCCATAAGAGGTTTGGCACGTGAGAGAGGAGTTTCACCTATGACAGTCCAAAAAAGCAGTGAAAAAAAACTTGATGAAAATCGAAAAATGAAATCTGTGAGGCATCCTGTTTACTCCAGGGACAGAAAGTTAGAAGGTTAGAGAGGGTGAAGATCATCTTGAATAAGTTGGAAAATGATCCTAGAATAATATATATATATATATATATATATATATATATATATATATAGAGAGAGAGAGAGAGAGAGGTCCCAGTTATGGACAAATCTTTACATCACCATCATCATCATCATATATATATATATATAACAGGATATCCAGAAAACCACTGAACTAATTGAGTTTCTTTTTCCAAACCTTTCAGATAAGACGTTTAACCATAATGATACCATTTGTCGTGAGAATCACTGAAAAACCCTTTTAGTTATTCAGCTAGAAAGAAAACAGGTTAAAATCGTTTTTTGTCAGCCCCACTGTGAAAGTATCATAATACATTTTATAGTAAAAATTCCGACAATAGATTGTAATAATTAAAAGATTTCCAGCAATAAATTTTAATTTATAAAAGTCACAAAAAATAAGCAATACATTTTAATAATAAAGTT